AGACAGACAGGCCAACCAGGAAGCCAGAAGGAACAGTGACTTAGTTCTTCTTGCTCCAGACTTCCTGAGCCCCCATCGGTCAGGTTGGGACCCCAGCCAGGAGGCAACCTCCCTTGGTAAGAAATTCTAGGAAAATCTCTGCTCTGCCCAGATTGGGCTGACCTGATCTCAGTTCTAACTCCATTCTCAGCCTTTACCTAAACTTTGATCCCAAGCCCACTCCCGATCTCAGCCTCAACACCCAGCCTCATTCCTCTCCCCAGTATTGACCCCATCCCACACTGAGAACACCGTTACAGGTCCCATTCAGACTCCACCCTGGACTTTGACCTCCATCTCGCCGCAGACCCCTGCCAACCCCAGATCTCGCAACAAGGCCTTACAACCCTGACTTTGACCTCTTCCTGTTCTCTTCTTGCCCTTTCTCTGCTCATGGCTATAAACTGGCCCACACTGGACCCAGTCATACAACTAACAAGGATCGCAAACCAGATGCTGACCTGAATCATTCCTTCCTAGTACCACATGGGCACTCCCCCATTTCTTAGGCTGCGCTTCCCTTTCCCGTGCCCCCAGCATGGCTCCCAGGCCTCCAACTCTCCACCCCTGCCCAAGCAGGATCCCAGTCCTATGAAGACATGAGAGGGATCCTGTACGCAGCCCCCCAGCTCCGCTCCCTTCGGACCCAGCCTGGTGCCAACCATGAGGAAGGTGGGTGTTTCTTCTGTTGTCCCCAAGGTCCTCTGAGGCTCACACCCTCCCAGCCTACTTCAGGCTCTACCTTGTTCCTGGTCCTAACCAGATGCAGACTCTTATGAGAACATGGATAACCCTGATGGGCCAGAACCAGCCTGGGGAGGAGGAAGCAGCATGGGCACCTGGGGCGCCAGGTGATTCCTGCAGGTGAGCTAGGAGCTACCCTGGAAGGAAGGGGACAAGGCCGGAGATGAGCAGGGTGGAAGCAGAGCACAGGCTCTCGAGGAGTGGAGGGGAAGGGGCTCCCCAGGCCTGCTGGCAGGAGGAGGGCTCCCGAGCCCCTGCCCCTCACCGTTTCTTCTACAGAGCCTGGTCCTCTTCAGACCCCTGAGACCCACACCTGACTCTGAAATCTGGGGACCCCCAACTAGACCATGTCAGTCTCTGAGCAGCAGTGCTCAGGATGTGTGTATCTGTGTGTGAGTATGAGCGTGTGCGCGTGTGCATGTGAATACAACTGGACCTCCCAGCCCCCTTGGCACTACCCAAATAAACTCAATGAGCTCTTCAATCCTGTGGCTTAGCGGCCTGTGTGTGAGGGGAAGGCAAGGTGAGGAGGGAGAGCTGCATCAGGGTGCAGAGGACTCCCCTTCCTGCCCTGTACCCATTTCCTCCTTGCCTGCCATTCCTGGCATCCAGTTATTCCGTGGTTGTTCATTCAGCAGTTGCATGCTGGGTGCCCAGGGCAGAGCAATCCAGGATTGCTGCTGCTGACATTTATCAGGGATCTATTATGTTCTCACATCAATTAACTCATCTAATCTTTGGGCACTTATGGGCCAGGGTAGTAGCAAAGTATTTTATGTTTATGTGTATTAGCCAGGGAGGTGACCCAAATAGTGAGGCAGCCCTCTCTGACTGATCCGCTGCTCCCCTCAGCAGTGTATTTTTGTCCATCCTCCTGCTCTGCTCCCCACTCTGTGGTGAATCCTCTCACCCCCTGCACCTCTGGCCTGAACCCCTGTTCTGTATGCATAAATAAATAAATATTTTTAAAAAAGGAGTTATTTATATATACAAGAGCTGGGGTACAGGCCAGAAGGGCAGGGAGGTGTGAGGATTCATCAGAGACAGAGTGGGGAGCAGAAGAGGCAGATGGACTAAAATGCGCTGCTGAGGGGAGCAGCGGGTCAGTAAGGAGGGGTCTGCTGCACTATGTGGGTCACCTCCCTGGTGGGTATCCAACTTGTGCTGCAGTGGCTGTGGATAGCTTCATAGTGCTGTGCTTCAAACCCTTGTGCCACCAGGGAGGGCCCTAGATCCTGTTTTTGTATGAGAAGACTGAGATAGAGAAGCTAAAGCTTGCCTAGTGGGGTCAGTTTGGACTCCGGCAGTCTAATTTCAGAGCCTGAACTCATACTGTTGCCACCTTCCTTCCCAGGAGGGTGGGCACCGGGCAGAGGCCACGACACATGCCCAAGTGCACTCTCTTAGCACTAGGCACAGATCTGACTGCAGCTGTAGCTGTACCTGCAAATATGCCCACTCCTGTCAGAAACTCTGAACACAAACACCGACAGAGTAAAAAGCCCCTGGGCCCCAGAACCATCAGGTAGCAAGTGCCACCACAGCTAACCTGTGCTCCAATCTGTTGTGCCCCCAGGGAGGGCCCTTGGCCCTTCTCCTGTTAAAAGAGCTAGAATAGAATGGGAAGCATCTGCCACCTCTGATCTGATCAGCCCAGTTAATCAGTTATAGTCTGGAGATTGCTGATGTAAGGAAAAAGGACATCAGAAGGAATTTGCAACAGTTGTCTGTCTCTTCTAATCAACCACGGCAACCTAGGTCCCCACCAACTAATAATCCTAAGGATGTTTGTCATTTCTGCAAAGGGCCTGGACCCAGGGAGAAGGACTGTCCTAAACTAAACTCTCGGAAGCAGCCCAAAAAGCCCTGCCCTCAGCCTCTCCAGGGGCCTGAGGCTGCTCCGAGGATAAACAAGGGTTTTGTCCAATGTTACCCCTCAATCAAGGAGGATGAACGTTTCTATGATTGGAAAGGAGGTCTCACTATTTTGACCAACACTGGAGCATTTAACCTTCTCAAGTGGTTCAACTTTATCTGTGCTCCAAACAACCCCTTTCTCAGAGTACTGAAAAGATCCCAATGGAGGCTATCTCCAGTAAACTCCTGCTGCCTCCAAGTCTACAGGACAGCATCCCTCCAGATGTGCGTTTCCACCCCCCACCCCCCACATCTCCTGTTCATTTATTAGGGAGAGATGGGTTTAGAGAAGATAGGCTATTATCTTCTTTTCTAAAAAAGGGGGAAAATTCTCAAGATTGATTCAACCCTCAGTTTTGCTGGGAGCATCAAAAGTCCTCTGTTTATGCCCTTTAACCAATTAACAGGCATTCCAAGAGCTCAGCCCTTTCAGAGAAGTTCCTAAGAAACTAGATGAGGTCCATATCAGATGTCAGGCAGATTCATTCAGCTCCCCTAATAAAAATTCAGGTTAATTCTACCTAATCTTTTCCTAACATTAGACAGTATCCTTTGAATCCTAAAGCCCTTGCAGGAATTGAGATTCAAGGTGTTACAATTCCCTGCACTAGTGTAGGCAATATCCTCATTCTCCCAGTGAAGACATCTGGGGATGAGGGTGGCTATTCATCCAGAACCATAAATAATACTGTCATTTCCCCATACCCTGTTATCCTTAACCTGCTTAGTCTCTTGATTTCTATTCCAATGAAGCACACATTCTTTACTAATGTAAAATGTCACTGATCATTTTAGTGCTTTTTTTTTTCTTCAGCATGTCCATAGAACCCTTTCTACCTTCCATAGATTTTAAAGGCTCATTTAACCTTCTCAAGTGGTTCAACTCGTTTACAGTATGTTGATGATCTTCTCCTTTCTTCTACTTCCAGGGAAGCATATAAAGAGCATAGTGTCACCTTCTCAGATTATTAACAAAGGTCACAAGGTCTCTAAAGAAAAACTTCTATTTTTCAGACTCAAATAAGGTCCTTAGGACATCTGACTTCAGGTCAAATTCTCTTTCTGGGCCCTGAAAATTCTCAGAGCATTTTTTTAAAAAAAGATTATTTATTTATGCATACAAAAACTGGCCAGCGTGTAGGGGTGAGAGCATTCACCAGAGACAGAGCAGGGAGCAGAACAGGCAGATCTACTGCAATATACTGCTGAGGGGAGCAGCAGGCAGACAGGAAAGTTCTCTGACATCATGTGGGTCAGCTCCCTACCTGGGGATTGAACTCCAATTCTGTGCTACAGTGGCTGTGGATAGCTTCATAGTGCTGAGACTTAACCCCTTGTTCCACCAGGGAGGGCCCCAAACAAGGGTTTAAATAGAGATCCTGATAACCTGGATCACAAGGACTGGCGGACTTTTGCCAGTGCATTGCGTCAGTAACCAGTTATGATTAGCCAAGAATAGCGTGTGCTTGTTAGTATCAAAGAACTCTTCTTTTAACCACTTACTTCATCTTCCTGCCTTCTCTTACCGCTCCCCCCTCCCCCCCAAAAAAAAAACAAACGACAGCAAAAAACCTTGACTTAGTGTCCCTATGACACTATTTGGATTTTTGGATTTCTACAGGTATCTATCTGTGCTCCCTGAATTGCAACTTTTTGACCCCAAATAATAAATTAATGCTTGGTGACCCCCCCATCCTAGTTTTCTAAATTTTAGGCTGATTTGAAAAGGACAGGGAAAGAAAAGAGTTAACAGGTGGGTTGGAGGTCCATGAGTCACATTGGAGGTCCAGTAAGTCACACAACTTATTTTCAATAGGGGAACTAAGCTTTTCATTTTTCATTTATGTTGCCCTTCCAGGTGTTGTCTGTGAGGCGTGCGTGCTTAGGTGTTTGTGCCTTACGTGTCTTCGCACGGCTGTCTGGTGTGAGGGAGGGTCTGTGTACTGTTGCAGGTAATTGTGAGAGTCGAGTGAAGAGTTGGCCTGGGGGTGCACTTGGGGATTCTGCAGGTGAGCAGGAGCGTGTACGAGAGGACGCGGTTCAGTGGGGTCACTCAGGCCCACGACGCGGTTGGGAGGCAAAAAAGGTGGAATCTCGTGAGGTCCGACGCCTAATTCCACAGCGTCTAAAAGCGATTCCCAGACCGCTTTACCCCTTTGTGGCTGTAGGGCTCGAGGACTACAATTCCCAGGATGCTCGGTTTTCCCACCAACCAAGAAAACGGATCTCCTCAGTCGGGCGGGTCTGGGAACAAGTCTGTCAAGAGAGGCAGCCCGGCCAATGGGGAGCCGGGCGGAACCAGCACCTACACCGATTGCGTGGAGGCTGATTGGAATCTTTGGCGCCTTGGTTTCAGTGGTGGACGCGTGATGGGCGAGTCTAGCAGCCAGTGAGCAGGCGGGGAGGCGGATCTAGACGGTGTGGGCGGGGAGACATGTTGATGAGCAGGTCGTTCGCCCAATGAAAGGCAGGGCTCGCTGGAGGGGGCGGGGCGAGAGGAGTAGAGGCGGGCAACTGTGGGGACGGGTGTGTGCCATGGCGGAACCCCAGAGGAAACGCGGGCGGCGGCCCCGAGGCGGCGGCGCCGGCCGAGGGGCTAGGGGAGCCCGGGGCGGCCGGGGCCGGCGTCCTCGCACGCAGCGGTCTCCAGCTCGGGTCACCTTGGACTCGGTTCTGGTGGACTTGGTCAGCGATAGCGATGAGGATATCGTGGAGGTTGAAACGGCGCGCGGCGCGGCGGACCCGGTGGAGGTCCCGCTCCCGGAGCCCTCGGTGCCGGCCGCGCCCCGGGACGACAGCGACAGTGACAGCGAAGGGGCGGACGCACGGCCGGGTGACGCCCCGCGGGCCCCGGTCCGGCGACGGCGACGGCTGCTGCTGGATCCCGGGGAGGCACCGGTGGTTCCGGTGTACTCGGGGAAGGTGCTGCCAAGTCCCGGGGGGGCTAGCGCGGAAGGGCTGGGTTAGGGCTGCTGAGGTGAGGGTTCTGAGGTAGGCTTTGGGGACTAAACAGAAGCAGGCTCTAGGGCGGCTTTCTGCCGGCTGGGGTGATTTTGGGGGTTGGTGTGTGTTGGGAGTTTGGACTTCGGGAGTGTCGGGCTAAGGGGGTTGCGGGGGAGCTGAGACTGAGGTTTGGGGCATGTTGTATTTTTTTTTTTTTATTAAAA